TTAGTTAGACCGTGTTAGGGATTCAAGAACAGATATGTCTGCAACAAGAATATGTATTTATGCGACTGTAAGGAGCTAGCTATAGCCGAAAGGAGGACAACTGCAAACTACTCATACACAAGCACCCCTTGGTATCCACTAGACAGAGACCAAACAAGACAGCTACGAAACACCAGGCACCCGTCAGAACCAAGCAAAAGGGTTTGAAAATGAAGGTAAAATGCATCAAAATTATTTTTCATCTAGTCGAGTTCTTCCATCTGCATGTTTCATTTACGGAAAATATATATACACGAGATCAAGACTCAATTGAACCTGAGAACAAACTCCAAATGACACAAAATCTGAAGAACAGAAAATCAGTGATCGGAATAAATCAATGCGATATTTACAAGGAAAGATCAGAAAAAGGGAAAACATTTTGAACCTACACGAGATCAACACAAGCGAAAAAACTCCGAAGAACCGAGAAAATCAGTGATCAGAGTCGATGGTTACGAAGACAGATCGGAAAAGGATTTGTTACACAAAAATTATCATTACCACGAACTTACATATAATCGCAAAGGGACACGGGGCGATTGTTAATTCGCTACTAATAAGAGCAATAATTACTAAGGTAACATATTACGGATTTCAACTATATTTTACATCTAATGATCATAAATCATGAATCAAAATATACCGGGATAGTAAAATTTGGTTGCATAACATGGATAACTACATAGATACAAACCTACGAATAGAGGAAAAAAATACAAAAATAAACGTTTTGGGAGGAAAAAAGCTCTAGATTGCAAAATTCTTCAGAAAGAGCAAGCAAAACATGCATCTCAAGGTCAAAATATGGCGAAAGAGCTTACAAAAGCAGAGAAAAGTGATCGGTCCTTGGATAGACGGCTAATCATAGGTCCATTTGGTGAAAAGCTTCAACTCCAGTATCAACTAGTTGAGTTGAACAAGGGAATAAAGTGTCCCTGATCTCATATGGAGCCCAAAGTCCCTGCAGAACAATGTAATAATCGTTGATCATCTATCTTACGCATACTATACGAGCAGCCATTGAGCACAAGATAACTCTACTTGAAAGAAAACAACTAGAACTATGTATCTCAGGCCCACTTGAGAACAACAACTTTCTGTGTTCATTACATTCCATTAAACTTAGCAATATGTGACCAGTGAAAAGATTATCTGGATACTTGTAATTCCCTGAATGTAATATGAATACGAAAGATAACATTTGGCATACAGAGAAAGAGGCAATGGCGTAACAAGAAGAAGAAAACCAAAACTAACCAACCTCGTCACCAACTCTCTCAAAGCTCATTCATCTTCCCAGAGATAGCCATGGAAATTAGTAAGTCCCCTCTCCTCCATCCAGCTCGCCCCTTTGAAAACGAAATTCGTAAATTTTGATAAGGCTATTGAATTCCCACATTATCAACACCGAATCAAGGAAAATATCACATCTATTCAATTCCGTTTCTGTCATCAATCGTTGAACATAAAAGTATATCCCGAATCAGAATTAGTAAGAAGCAACGCCATATATACCTCATAAATACGAGATACCGGCGAGAGATTCCGATGGTATGCAGTTAAAAACGGAAACAATTCCATGGAACCAACAATTTTGGACAAATTCTAAGTGTACGAGCTCTAGGGATTCTTAAGAATAACCACGTGCTCTGCTCTGAGAAGAAAAGCGTCCAAATTTCTCAAACCCTTTCTTTTAGTTTCAATTTACAAATGACTTCGAAGAAAAGAA